CAGACTCACCCCCATGGAGGCTACTGTTTGCACATGGATCCTGCACTCTCCTGGGAAAAGTAACAGCAGAGGCTGCTTCCCAGGACACAGACAACCTGGGTGCCCGCCGCCCCCACCCACCCCCATCCACAGTACAAAATAAAGTGCCTTCGTAGCTATTATTTCTTTGGATAGGCAGCAAGTCTCCCTCCTACACATTAAGTAGACAGTCTTGTCCCCACTTCGGTTTTCCAGATTGGGAAAGGGTGCAGAGAAGGCAGTGCTTCCCACTTAGGTGGAGGAAGCCAGAGCCAGGATTCGAACCTCGTCTCCTAAATCCTGTTCCTTCTCCGTGTGGCTGCCCTGGTGTCTCTGGATCACCACGCCCAGCTTGTCAGGACTCCCGTCCAAGGCTGGTCACCGTTGTCTCCCTTGGCATGAAGGAGGCCTTGGGAAAGGCTCCAGTGGTCACATGAGGCCTGGAGGGGGTGGCTGGGTCTGAATCTGATCCCTTCTCTGGAGGTTAGGAAGCTGAGATGGTCAGAGCCGGATGCCATGCCTGAGCAAGATGACATCCAGCCACCTGCCCTCAGTGCATCAGCTGGTACAGACAATCTGTGTCCTTAGCCTGACCCTGTGCTGAGTACTCGAAATACAAAGACAAGCAGAGTGCAGAGGGAAGGCAACTCCCCTGCCCTCAGAGGCAGCTCGGAGGCTATGAGTGGCCCCGTCAGACTGGCTTCAAATCCTGCCCCTGTTATTTACTAGCTGGGTGACTGAACAAGTCACTGCATTCCTGAGCCTCTGTTCCCTTATCTGTAAAAGGAGCAAATTACAGTACCCACTGGACAGGGTGTTATGAAGATGAAATGAGGTGATGCCAGAAAAGCACTTAGTACAGTCTTAGGCAGTGGGCTAAGGCTCAATAAATATTGGCTGAGAAACCCCCAAACCCTGCTGATCTCGATGGGGCTCCCTTTCTCCCCTTTGCTCTGTGGTCCAGTGTTCAGCAGTGAAAAAACACAAGGCACGCGCGCACACACATGCGCACTATTTATACAATTCTGTAGAACTAGAAAGCAAATCTAACCATGTTTTTCTATGGGGTAGGGTTACGGGAGGACTTCAACTTTTACATTATATGTGTATAGCTCTGTTATTATGCTCATTTTATCATCAGCAAAAATGAAGATACTTAAAAATTGTTGTGTGCCAACCTGTGCCAGGCACAGTATCAGGCACTTCTGACACAGCATCCCTCAAACTTATAACATCCTTCATCCATGTTATATTAAACTGATCAGAACAGATACTACACTTGATCTTAGCCAAAAGGCTGAGAAGCGATCCTTCATCCGTGTTGTAGATGAGCAGGTGGAAGCTTAGAGAAGTGAAGTGAGCTGACCGAGCGAGCACACACAGATTCTCAATGATGATGCCAGGATCTGACCCCGGTATTGGAATCTGGAGAGCACACAGCAATTCTGCTTGGCAGGGCAGGGAAAGCTTCACAGAGGAGATGACATTTGAGCTGAACCTGGAAAGCTGAGTAGGACTTCTCCAGGGCTCTCAACCAGGGGTGATTTTGACTCCAAGGGAGATGTGAGATATTTTTGGTGGTCACAGCTTTGGGGGAGGGTGATACTGGCATCTGGTGGGTAGAGACAGGCCAGGGATGCTGCTAAACATACAATGCATAGGATTTCCTTGCACAACAAAGACTCATCTGGCCGTAAATGTCAACAGTGCAGAGTATGAGGTAACATACTAGAGCTGCTATTACTTATTTAGTGCTTACTATGTGCCAAGTGCAGTATGAAGTTCTTGCAAATGTCATCTTATTTAATCCAACCCCATTACTCCCACGCTGTCAATGAGGAATGTGGGCTCAGAGACAGTAAGTAAATTTCCTAAGGTCACACAGCCAGAAAATGGTAGCGCCAGAGTTGCAGCTGCCTGAGTACAAAGTCAGAGCTCTTAACCTTTCTGCTCTGCTGCCCCCGGGATTTATAACAAATCTCAAAGCTCCAGGCCAACTGCTAGGCGGGGTGTGAGGGGTCTCCAGCTGAACCCAGGTGCAGCCTCCTCTGGACTTGGGGCCTTGGGCAAGGTCCCTCCCTCCCCTCTGTCATTTCCCCATCTGTCAAGTGAAGGATGTACCAGATGATCTCCCAGGCCCTTGCCAGCTCTCTGTTATTCTTCGGGAGAGAGGCCCCATCCCAGGCTCCAGGAGCCTGCAGCTGGGAGAGGAGGGGGTGTGATGGACAGGCTCAGCCTCATTCCCAGTGCGTCACTAGCTAATGAGCGCTGCTTCTCCACAAGGAGAGCGAGGCAGGTCGGGGGAGGGAGTGGCTTGAACCTCACCCAGGAGCTTACCTCTCCAGTGGGAAGGCATGTTTTTCTGCCACCTTCTTGCTAAGCCCAAAGGAGGCACCAAAGCCAGGCCTCCTCAGGCAAGAGAGGTGGGTCTGGGCATTCTCCCAGCTGGGCATGTGAGTGCTCACAGGTAGAAGGGGAAGGAATGACAATACATGCTGACCCAGCCCCTACCACATGCCAGGTATCTCAAATAGCAGGTTCATCTCAGGTCAGCCTCATGAAAATTCTGGTAGGAAAGAATTATCCTGACTCCAGTTTACAGATGGGAGCAACAAGGTTTACATGTAGTGACTTGCCAAGTTTACACAGATAGTGCTGAAGGAAGGTTAGGAATGAAAATGTGTGTGACCCCAGGGCAGTACACGAGAGGGCAAGTGAGTAGCAATCCTGGTTTTCTTTTTACCCAAGAATGAAAGTGTTTCCGTAACATTTGGAGAAAATATATATTCCATTTCTCCTGCATACTCCAGGATGAGGAATGGACTACAAAAAAACCAAAACACAAAAATCCCGATTTCCTGGTTTGCAGGCAGGGGAACCAAGGCTCCAAAGGCAGGGAGGCCTCTCCAGCTAGAATGTCAGACAGCGAGAGGAAGGGACGAGTGGCAGGGGAGGGATCTGGCCTGGGTCAGGCTGTGCTTTCTAGCCCAGATCTCTCATTGTCTGGCAGTGTGACTTTGGATAAGGCACGTTAGCCTGTCTGGACCTCAGTCTCCACATCTATATAATGAAGAGGTTGGACAGATGGTTTCAGACAGAATCCCTTCAAATCCTTACAATCTGTGTCCATTCCTGTCAAAGGTTCTCTCCTCTTCCCAGAGCCCCCAACCATTGTTCTCCATCCTTGAAGAGCCACACTGGAAGGGAGCCAGTTGTGGTTTGGGGATGAAAGGGACAGGGAGGGGGTGATGGTTAACATGGGGCCATTTCTCCTGGGACCAACGCTCATCTCCATGGGCATCTGCTAGGTGCAGGTTGACTCTCAGAGACTCATGTGTAAGGAGTGGGGGACCTCTACAACATGGGGCAAAGTAGTAATTTAGCTCCTGCATAAGCATCTTGAGTGCCAGAGAGCTCACTGTCTCCCAGGTTAGCCCACTGCATTCTCATAAAATGTTTGAGGCAAAAGCCTTCTGTTTCCAAAGGCTCCACAGTCTGGGCAGGCTCAGGCCAAGGCTGGTCATTCATTCATTCAGCCTTTACTGATATGTACTTTTGGACAGGCCCTGTGCCAGGCTTTGGGGCTATAGACATGCTGAATAAGAGACTGTCCTGGTTCTGGGGGAACTGTGTGCTAGACTGATATGCTAAGGCCAAAGACATGGGCTGTTGGATTTAAATGGTTTAGCTTAAGAAAAAGATTCAGGCTCCAATAAGCTTGGGAACCATTTTATGAAGCACAGTAAAATGAGTTTCTTTGCTATAAGAGTTCTCCAAGCCTTTAATATGCAAATATACACTGAGAATCCTCTAAGGGGTGTATAGAGAATATACTCTACTTCCCTAATATAGCTGATCTTGGAACACTACTTTTTAAAACATCATACGTACTAACAGAACATCAGGGGAAATGCAGCTCTAATGCTATTTTTTTGGGCAATGGAGCTTGGGGAAGGCTTATACAGAGTGGACATTTTTGAGCAGGGCTTTGAGAATTGAGTAGGAGTTGGTCAGTGAAGATGGCAAGGTTTAAGGGAGACCAAATACAGCCTTAGGCTGATTATGCTTAGGTTACCATGCATGTACTGTTTCCTTTAGTCCTCAAAGCTCCTGATGTGGGTGACAGAGCCATGGCAGTCATCAAAAGCCCCTGGAGACTCCTAGAGATCCACTCCCTCCCTTCTGCAATCACCTCACTTCAGGGTCTTATTCTACAAATCTTGAGTCTTCAAGTCCTGACCCCACTCTCAACCAGGGCTCTACTCCTGTTTAAACCTCAAATGGTTTTTACAGTATCTAGACTGGATCCAAGCTTTAACCCCTCACACACCATGGCCTAACCTTTGGCACCCAAACCCACCCTCTCAGCTGTTTGCTGACCCTAACTTTGACTCTCAGATTTAACCCTGACCTGCCCAACACAATCTAGTCCTGGTATTGCCCCCTTGGTCCTGACGCACACCTGACTGAGCCCGGCTCTATTGGGCCTCCACACTTGCTGCTCAGCTACTCCATACAGTCCTGACGGATCCTCGGATAATGGCCCCGTCCCCTGTCTAGCCCTGACTGTGTTCCCATCCCAATCTCTGTCTTTTTCCCCACTTCTGTCTTAAACCATTTTTATGTAGGCCCTGTCTCCAGGTCCAGCCCCCACGAATCCTGACAGTGGCCCTGCCCTTATCCAGCTCGGATTCAGCCCAGTCCCCAACACTGCCCCAGCCCGTACCTGGTCCAGCTCTGATCTCATTTGTTCCTGCCATCCCACTCCACTGGTGACCTCTGCCCAAGCTATGGACCTAGCCCACTTCAGGTCTATCTCAGACCCCGCCCAAGGCCCCGCCTTCTACTAATTCTGATAGGGCCCTAACCCTGCCGGCGGCCCCGCCCCACGACAATTTTGACTGGGCCCCGCCCACGGTCCAGCCCTGACTCCGCCCCCGGGCCGGCCCCACCCCCTGCCCCAGGCCCGCGAGGCTGCTCACCTGCAACTCTTCAAAGGCGTCGTCGATGCCAGTTACCTGGTGCTGCTCGTGCAGCGCGGGCTCGTCGCAGAAGAAGCAGAGCAGCTCGCGGTCCGTGAGACAGAAGAGCTTGACCTTGTCATGCGCCTGGCAGGGTCGCGCGGCGCGGCGCGCATTGAGGATGGCGTCCAGCGGGAAGGCACTGTAGCGCTCCACGATATTAGCCAGCTTGAGGCTGGGCGCCAGCACGGGCTCGGCGAACGTGCGCCGGCATTCAGGGCAATCGCGGGCGCCCTGCGCCTCCTGCCGCACCCAGTGCTCGGTGATGCAACGGCGGCAGAAGTAGTGCTCGCAGCCCAGGCTCACCGGGTCCTGGTAGATGCTCAGACAGATGGAGCAGAGCAGCTCGTCCTTGAGGCTGCACGCCATGGCGCCGGGGGCGGCGGAGACTGAGGCCAGAGATGCAGGAGGGTGGCTGAGAGACCGCAGCGCTGTCGGGGGCAGCACCGAGGGGTGGGTGCGGGGAGCAGGCCGAGAGAGGCAGGAGTAGGCGCTACAGGAGAAGGAAGGGGGACTGTTCGGAAGGCGGGTAACGCGAGGAAGGGGTGCAGGGTAGAGACTGCCGGAGATGCGAGTCCAGGAAGGTGGTCTGGAGGTAGTGGGTGACTTGGAGCGATGGCTGTTGGAGGGAGGGGGCCGCGGGTGTCTGAGGGAAGGGACTCCTGGAGAGAAGGTTGTAGGAGAAGGGATAATCCGAAGGAATGGATGCTGGGAAAAGAGGATCCAGGAGGGGGACGGAGGCCTTGGGGTGGGGGTTGAAATCCCGGGATGGGTGCGATGGGGGGAGGGGGAGAAGCTAGGGATAGGGAATTCTGGGGCGGGGGGGTGAAGCCAGGCGGAGCCGCTGTGCCTGGCAGAGAAGAGGAGGGGTGCGATCACGTTCAGCTGCCCAATCCCGGCCCCAAGACCCGGCCCCGCAAGTCTGCTTACCCCCGCCGGCTCAGCGGCCACTGCTCGGGTCCCAGTGCAGCCTCTCAACCCGGAACCAGCCGAGCTGGAGCTGCCGGCAGCCGCGACTCCCTCCCCGCCCCCGTGGGCGGGACCCACGCGACTCCGCCCCCCCAGGCGGGTAAGGCAGAAGAGGGGCGGGGTCGGGCCTCCAGTCGTTGGACCCCCTCTCCGACCCCACCATTCTCCCGCTCCCGGGGGAGCGAAACCCAGCTGTTTCTTCAGGGTTTGCACATGGAACAATATCCAGGTCTTGCTTAGGGTTCCTGCGGTGGACAGGGGCGCGTTAGCTAGTATGAGAGGCTAACGAGTAAAAAGGATCATCAATTTGAGGATTTGGGAAAAATAATATTTTGTATTAAGACAAACAAGGATATGTGTGTAATCTGCATTGAATACAATTTTTGCATAAAATATAAACATAAAACGAGAAATACCCTGCTTGCTTAGAGCAAGTTTAAGACCCTCACATTCCTAAGTCCTGGGGTCCCATTCCGTCCTCACTTTCTTAAGGAGTGCTTGGGGGAGAAGTTTGGGAAGCTCTAGCCCTGGCTAATGTCTGACCCAAGAAGTTGCCTCCATTCAGCAAACATTTCTGGAGTGTCATATTTGTGTATGTGTGGGGTGTGGTGGGGGGCCTGATGGAGCAGGCGAGCTGGAGAGAGAATAATAGACCTTGTCTTATATGCCAGATGGAGGGGAGATTTCTAGGCAGAGGGAACGGCATGTGCAAAAGCACAGAGGTGTGAAAGGGGAGCAATTAGTTCTGTACTGTTGGGGATGTGGTGGAGAAGGGGCTTGGGTGAGGAGGAGGGTGTTGAGGGTCACAGTAAAAGATTTCCTGAAGGCTCTGGACTTTCAAACGGGAATGACCTGGAGAAAGGAGATGTGGTGGCAATTGCCCGTTGTCCACCAAAACCCCTCCTCCTCTATAGACTATAGAGTCTATAACAATATAGTAGTAGCCAGAGAAGTGGCTGGTCTGACAGAGACCGCACTTTCCAGCTGCTCTTGCAACTGAGGGTGGCTTTGTGACTTTTTCCAATACGACGAAAACAGAAGTAGCCCTTAAGGCTTTTGCTCGTCCATGCTCCATTTCCTCTTCCCTTGAGTTGGAACACTGATGTGCCAGGGACCCAGCTTCAACAATGCTTCAAAGGGGCTGACGCAGCAAAGATACGGAAGGAACCTGGGTTCCTGAATGACTACATGAAGTGGAGCCACCCACCAATGAGGACAAGTGAGAAAATAAACTTTCTTTTCTACAAGCCGTCGTGTTCTCGGTCTCTGTGCCAGCAGGTTAACCTTCCCCACGCTGTGCAATATCTGTTTTGAGAAGAGGCTCTGATACAAATTTACGCTGTTGTATAAATCTTTTCAGTAGCTGAGTTCCTCTTAATACGTAGCTCCAATCTCTTCCAAAGTGTATAGAATATGGTTTCCTCTGGCTGAAAGTCACAGCCTCTTTGGCCGTTCACAATACTTTCCAGTTTTTAGCTTTTTCAGCCTTTGAGCTGTTCTTCTCACCTTACCCCATCTCAGTTGTTAAAGGGGGGAAAAAAAAAAACAGTCCCCAAATGGCATCACTGATTTTAAATGCCCAATGTACCAAACCTAGATTTATTACCTGATATAATTGCAGTTTCAATCTCTCCCAGAAACATAATCGACCAGTATGGAATTTTCTGGTCAAACACCAGTAAGGTAATTTGTCACATAGGTCCTCTTCACCCCCCATAGACAGAAAAGGTAATCTACATAATAAGACCCCTCCCCTTCTCTTCACCCAAAGAAAAGATGTCCAGGTGTCCAAATAATCCTTTTTCTTTCACTCATAGCTCCCTGGCCCTGCGCTTCTTCCTATAAAAACCTTCCATTATGTACAGCTCCTCGGAGCGCCCTTCTAGTTGCTAGATGGGGTGCTACCGCATCCATGAATCGCTTAATTAAGCCAATTAGATCTTTACATTTACTCAGTTGAATTTTGGTTTTTTTTAGGATGCAGAACACTATACTCAAACTGTTGGTTATATTTAAGTTTGGGAAGCCATTGCTCTTTCTGGATCTGCGTTCCCCAACTGGATGCAGTTGAGGGGTCTAACTAAAACTTGGGGATCCTGGGTGCAGTCTATGCCACACGCTTCCATTCATACTCTAAAACATAACATCAGGATTATTGTGTGTGTGTGTGTGTG